GGGGGGATTGTTGTGGATCGCACTAGACGACAGGGGCGGACATGTGAATGGGGCTAGTGGAGAGGGGGGGGAGGGGGGATTGTTGTGGATCGCACTAGACGACAGGGGCGGACATGTGAATGGGGCTAGTGGAGAGGGATCTATGAGTGAGACAAGAACCGGAGAGTACGGAGACACGGACGGCCGGCGACGTGGGCGAGGACGAGGACGAGGACGGGGACGGGGACGGGGACGAGGAGGAGGAGAAGAGGAGAAGAGTAGAGGATAGCTAGCTTGTTAGGTAGAGTCTAGAGAGAGTGGGTGAGGATTGTCATGGTCGCGCTCGGCAACGGCGGCTGAACCGGTGTATACTCTAGAGGCTAGTTAGTAGGCTGGGCAGGTCCCAACTGAACAGTAAGGACGGCTTGGCGGCCTGGCAAGCTGGCAAGCTGGCAAGCTGGCGGTGCAGGATGTGCATGGCACGAGGGGAGAGCGAGGGGAGAGAGGGGAGAGAGGGGAGAGAGGGGAAAGAGATGATGAGGAGACGCGTGAGGAGGACGAGGAGAGCAAAAGCAAAGGAAATGACGGGAATCACTGTCGGGTCTCGGCCGTTGTCAAGGTCCCTCCCAATCCAGCCTCCCTTGTTTTCTCCTTGCTCTTGCCGATTGCGCCTTGGTCGTGATGCCGTCGGGCGCGATATGAGACGCCGTGCATGGCCCGCCGAGGTGTCGTGGTAGCGTAAAGGTGGAACCGGGTACGGGTACGGGCTGACGTGAGCGCGTACCGAGAGAGGCACAATCCCTGCCCACAGTGTCGAGTCGTGCCTCTTGGAGTCTACCCAGGCTACCTACCCAGCCTCCCTCTTCATCCCGCCACCGTGCCGTCTGCATGCAGTTTATTATACAGAATGTTACACCTCGAAGAGCAGAGCATTTTCTTCAACACAATGCACAAAGCACGCGTCTGCCCTCTGCCTACGTACCCCCCCTTGTTGCTCAAAAAACCTCCCTGCGTATCGTCCGTCCAATTGATCAACCGATTTTATTCTGATACGCACATAATGGCTGTCACCCAGCGCAAGGTCCTCCAACCCCCAACCCCCAAACATGTCCTTGCAGCATGAAACAACAAACGTCGTCGTCGACGAGTCACACTCTGGTTTGGCAGCGTGGCAGTCACCATGCGCGTCTTGGCCACCTTGGCAAGATGGTAATGTGCGTTTTGGGCAGCATAAACATCACCGCAGGGTTCCTCAAAACCCAGTTTAGACCAGGATTCGTATCCCTCCGACATGAGTCGTACTTGCTTGCTGTCACTCCATCTCTCTTGTTCAATCTCTCGAGTCCTCTCAAGATCCATTTCCTCCCTTTGCAATATTCTCCCTCCCCACCTCCCCACCGCAGTATCCCTGCTCCCTCTTCCCGAGACACTCATAGGCTTTTCAGGGCTATTGCGCCATCTACGCGCATACAGATCTCCCTCTCTCCCTCTTGATATCGATGATGAGAAAATCTCAAATCTCCCCGCCACACAGTCGCCTCGATACTCTGAGTGGCTGTGACATCTCGCGCTCTCTCCTCGCCATGCCGTCAACAACGGCAGATACTGTACGGCAGCTTGGGTGGGGCAGGGCGGTGCCTGCCCGGTCCATCCGGCGTGCCGTAGGCAGGCGGCAGCGTCGCTTGCTGCAGTGTCCACAGAGACAGCTGGAATAAACAAAACCAAGTTTAATTCACAGCAATCAGCTGATCCGGCCAGCTGGCCAGTGCCGACTCGGAGGCACAATCCGCGTCGGCGGCACGGCGGCACCGGGAGGAGGCACGGACGATCTTTGCGAGCAGTTCCCAACGCAGCTCCCAGCTCCCAGCTCCCAGCGCCTGTCAGCTGCGGCCCAGTGCCAAGCGTCGCCAGCATCCCCCAGACATGCCCAACTCCCAGACTTGGAGCGATTCGTCACCATGCACAGCTGCAGCTGCGAGCCTCCAGTACTCTAACCCTACGGGCGAACCGAACGTTAATCACCGGGAGTGATTGCCAGGATGAGAGGAGCCGGGACGCGCCTGAGCCAATTTGGGAGTACGAGGACGAGGACGAGGACGAGGACGGATGCTGCCGCTGCCGCTGTGCGATGCAAAGTCGCGGGAGGGCGGGATAAAGCATATGTACTGTACATGTACAGCTTCCATTCTTCTATGACTCGGATGATGGGAGAGTTGAGTGGAGCGGGCGTCCCGTATCTCGAGTCTAGAGCTTGCTCGAGATCTGATGATCCAGAGGTGATGACTGCATGACTGCAGTGGCGCTCAAGCTAAGCTCGAGGTCTCGGCCGACCGACCATGCTGGCCAGTGCCACTCTGCGTGAACAAACATGTCCGCGCACTACCATGCATGCACTCGATGCCATATGCACTGCATTGCATTGCAATGCAGGCATGGATGTCACATGACCTTGAAGCCGCTGGCAGTCGCCGGTCCCTGCGCCAAGGAGAGTGCCGTTCTCTCGACATGTCAAACGACATTGACGGCGGAAGAGTGGTGGGACGATCTCGACGAGATGAGACGACGCCGAGATGCCCCCGAGATGCCATGGCTGATGAGCTTTGAGGCCTGGGTGATTGGTCGGCGGCTGAGCTGAACGACGAGCAGAGATGCATGAGTGGGGAGCGAGAGCGAGCGAGCATGGGATGACGAGGACGGACTATTGGGAGATAAGATTACACGGATTGAAAGTGAGCACACCATCGCCATGGTGAAATGGGAATTGACAACATCCAGTCAGCCAGTTGGCCGAGATTACCTTCCCTCCCTGCCCTCCTGGCGTGATCACCGCACATCCATCCATCCCCCCTTGCTCTCCATCCATTTCCTCTTCCTCGCCATCACTCATCTCTCTCTCTCTACCCTCCCCCCCCCCTCACCCAATACCTACTCTCACCCACCAATGCCCACCACAGCCACACCCACGTTTGTGTCCAATCTCCGCGCCCCAAAATTCCCCAAGTGTGCGTATAAACGTGTGAACTAGAACTGCGCCCTACGTCACACCCATCTCCACGCAGCCATCCAACGCCGCCGACCTCACCGCGCTTGTATCAGTACCCGACCTGAACGTATCATTGACCGTACGGGGCGCATCATGCTCCCTCGGCCCCGCCAGCCCATGCCGCCCGCTTCCGCAGTCTCTCCGTGACGACGACACTCTAATCAGGTGTTCACTTGTTCAGGTGCTGCTTACTTGAGCAGATTACCACTTGAACGGTTGACTGGACTAAGACTACTACAGTAGCTAGGCCCCACGCTGGCACGCTGGCACGGGGGCCAGCGGCTGACCGCGCCGCGGACAACCCAAGCCTCTAGTGTCATATCATTGCTTGTTGTCACTGCTCCTCGCTCGTTACGAACAGGATCCGGACCGCGGGCCGGCCGACAACCCGCGCAATCCCTACACTTCCACGCAACATAGATGCATGCACGCACTCTATCCAGACGCAGTTGTCAGGCTTAAAGCATCATTCACTCCTCACAAGAATTCCCCCCCCCCGTTTCTCCCCTCCCCCTCCCCCACTCACTCACTCATCATGCCAAATCTCATCTACACCCTCCCCCAAGTCGGCGGTCTCGGCGATGAGCCGGCTGAGCCTCTCCGCGCACAGATCGAGCGTGGTCTCCTTGGCACTCCCAAGCCAACCATCCCCGGCAACACAGACGAAGACAAGAAATGGGCCTACAAGCGTTCCGTGCCAACGCTCGTGCTCTACGACGAGCAGGGACTTCGGTGAGTAATCTCGCCCACCAAACTCGGCTCGGCGATCAATGTTCCGCCACTCGGCACCCATCGGTTCCCAAACTCCCGGCTGACTTAAGCCTTTACGACGGCATCACCGCACACGCCAAGGAGTACTACCTGTTCGAGGACGAGTTGTCGCTGCTCAAGGAGCACGGTTCCGAGATCGCTGCCGCGATGGGCTTCCCCCGTCGCCGCCGCCGTGACTTCCCGCCGCCCAAGGAATGGAAGCCGGCGCGTTGGGGTGACGCAGACGTCGGTCGCTGGAACAACGGCGTCAACGGTGAAGAGGGGCTTGCAGCTGGTGTCGAGCGCGGGTGGGACGTCGTCGAACTGGGCGCTGGCGCACTTCGGAAGACGGCTCATCTTCTTACCGCACTGGCCGACACACTTCCTCCGACCGACGCGGCGCCGATCACGTATCACGCCTTGGACCTAAGCTTCCCGGAGCTCGACCGCGTCCTCGGTCAAATGGAGGAGGGGTACGGCGCCGCTCTCGAGGGCCGCGTCGCCTGCGTCGGTCTGCACGGCGACTACAACGCTGGCATCAAGGTCGTGCGCAGCGGCACGCTCGCCGACCTCACTCGTAGCAGCGAGGAAGCCACCCCGTCCACGCCGTCGGACGACGCGGCCAGTGCCCCCGGCTCCCCGCTCTCGGCCAATCTTGTCACTCCCGCGATGGAGGCGACCGATCTACCCTCGATTGCGGGTCACGACGACCTCTCCATCGCGGACGAAGTCGATCTCAAAGACACGCGTGCCCCCGCCGTGGAGACGCCGGCGCCCACATCTGACCGCCCGCTCCACTTCATGTTCCTCGGCTCATCCTTGGGCAACTTTGCGCGTGAGGAGGCCGCGCCGTTCCTCAAGTCGCTCCCACTGCGGCAAGGCGATACGCTTCTCCTCGGCCTTGATGGGCGCCCGCCTAACGACCCCGAGGGCAAGAAGAAGGTAGAGATCGCGTACAATGACCCGAGCGGGTACACCAAAGCGTTCGAGGAGCACGGATGGGACGTGGCGCGCAAGGAGCTCGGCCTCGAGCCGGACGACGGCATCGAGTTTGTCGGGCGCTACAACGAGGCGCTGGGTAGGCACGAGGCGTATTACCGCTCCAAACGGAAGCAGACGATCCCTCTATCCAACGAGAGCGTCGAGCTCGAGGAGGGCGAGCTGCTCCACATCGAGTGGAGCTTCAAGTACTCGCTCGCCGAGGCGCTCACCATGTTCGAGGAGGCCGACCTGCGCGTCGTCGACTCGTGGAAGGCGCCCAACTCGGAGTACAGGCTCTGGCTTCTGGAGCGCCCTGCCGTGCGCTTCGCCGCCTCCCCCGATGAGAGCCGGGTCGCGCGCTCCCTCCCCACCCTGCGCGAGTGGGACGAGCTGTGGGCGCTCTGGGACCACATCACGCTGGGCATGATCCCCAAGGAGATGCTTCACCAGAAGCCCATCGACTTGCGCCACATCTGTCTATTCTATCTTGGTCACATTCCGACCTTCCTCGACATCTACATGACGCGCATGACGCGGGTCACGGACGGCAAGCCCACGCACCCCGAGTACTTCAAGGACATCTTTGAGCGGGGCATTGACCCCGACGTCGACGACCCCACGCAGGTGCATGCGCACTCTGAGGTTCCGCAGCGCGAGGAGGACTGGCCCTCGCTCGACCAGATCACGCGCTTCCGCGACGCCGTGCGCCAGCGTCTGCGCAAGATCTACGCCGACACGCACGACGGGCGCCAGCTTTCGCGCTTCGAGGCCCGCTCCCTCTTCATGGCGTACGAGCACGAGGCGATGCACGCCGAGACGCTCCTCTACATGCTGCTGCAGAGCCCGTTGACGCGAGCCCCAACCAAGACGCCCGAATGGGAGACGCTAGCTGCACACTGGGCGGTCGAAGCCGAGGCCGCCGCGGCGCACGGCTGGGCCGGCATCCTCGACGTGCCCGCCACGCGCGTTGTGCTGGGGCACAACGACAGCGAGGGCGACGACGCTGGCCACGCCGAGCACGAGTTTGGCTGGGACATCGAGCACCCAGCGACGGCGGTGGAGGTCGCGCCCTTCCGCGCCTCCGCGCTGCCCGTCACGAACGGGGAGTACTTGGAGTGGGTGCGCGCGATTGGCGCGATGCCGGCGCTGGACGAGCGCTCCGCCCCCGCCTCGTGGGTGCGCGTTGACGGCGAGTGGGCCGTCAAGACCCTCTTCGGCGCCGTGCCGATGCACATCGCGGCCTCGTGGCCGCTCATGGCGAGCCGCGACGAGCTAGCGGCATACGCCGCGAGCCGCGGCGGGCGCTTGCCGACCGAAGCCGAGCTCCGTGCCCTCTGGGCACACCCGCACGGCCCCCGCCCCGCCGGGCTCACAGCCAACATCGGCTTCCGGGCGTGGCACCCCACGCCGCCGCGCCCCGCGGTGCGCGACACCGCCGGCGGCGTCCTGCACGGCCACAACGGCGGCGTGTGGGAGTGGACGGACACGCCCCTCGCCGGCTTGCCAGGCTACGAGGCCAGCAAGCTGTATCCGGGATACAGCGCTGATTTCTTCGACGGCAAGCACTACGTCGTCCTCGGCGGCAGCTTCGCGACCGTGCCCCAGATCGCGCGCCGCGCCAGCTTCCGCAACTGGTACCAGGGCAACTACCGCTATGCGTGGGTCGGCGGGCGCGTCGTGTACGACGCGTAGTGTTGTATTATCTGAAGTGTAGTCTGTAGAAAAAATACAAATGTACATGTGCTCGAGCGCAGGCGGCGGGCGGAGGGGTTGTCTAGTCCATATTTATGTCACTGACTGATGTGGCCGCAGATGAGAGTGCTGTCCCTCCCTCGAAGAATCGAAAGCATGTCACCGGTGACTACCATCTCGTAAAACACTACAACTTGGCCTCCTTGACCCGGGCCCGCGCTCGCGCCTCGTCCTCCATCCACGGCCCCATCATGCCCTCGGCCTCGACCGCGCGCCGCAGCTGCCCGCCCTGGCTGACAATCTGGAACCGCAGCCGGTCCTCCATGTCCATCTGGCCCGGTGCGAACTCGCCAAACGTCGGTTCTTGGCCAAAGCCGGTCTTGGCCGCGTTGATCAGTATGCCCCTGGGGTTAGTCTCCGAGCGACTTCCGCTCGCCTCCCTCCATCTCACCCCTCCCCTCTCTCCTCGTCCACCTGTCCTACCCAATCCCCCCCACCACTCACGCTGTAAGCCCGTACACGGGTCTAACACCCCCGCCCTCGCGGCCCGTGAGGAAGCGGTGCATCCGCACCGGCCCGCCTCCCCAATCGATGTCGCGGTACTGGTAAAACCTGCCCTCGCGACCACCAACGCCCTCGTCCTCGTTCTCGGGCTGGTTGGCATACATCGGAATAGGGGGCGGCTTGATCAAGCCCGGCGGCACGGGATTGACCTTGTCCGCGAGCCCAAAGTTCCAGCCCGGGATATCCGCGGGTCTGTCGTGCAAAAAGGCCGCGAGCGGCATCGAGAAGAGATGCACGACCTCGTCGGGGTTGAGCACGGGGTTGATGTTGCGGTCGATGCACAGCAACACGACGGGCGTGACCACCAGCTGGTTGCCGGCGATCACGTAGTCGAGGAGGGTGAGGCAGCGCACACGCTCCGTGTCCATCGGCAGCCCGATCTCCTCGAACGCCTCGCGCCGCGCCGTCCACTCCTCGTCCTTGTCGCCCTCCTCCCACTTGCCGCCCGGCAGGGCCGTGTCGTACGCGTACGTCCGCAGGTCGCCGGACCGTGTCGTGAGAATCACGTACAGGTCGCCTTTGCGGCCCACGAACAGGCTGGCGTCAGTCGCGCTGGCGCAGCGCTCACATTATCGCCACGCTCGCTTTGCGCTTCTTCGGCACAGGGTGCGGAGGCACCTTGCGCTCATACTGCATGAAGCGGTGCAGGCATCTGTGTGAGCTCTGCGAGTCCGCGGCGCGCTCACTGGAGCGAGTCGGGCTTGAGCGGGAGCAGGAGGCTCTCGATCGGGACGGGGTTGCGCGGCGACATGCTGCAGTTGGAGAAAGTGGGCGATGTAAAGCTCGTTCGTGTCGATGGGTGGCGGCTGCAATAACCGGGCCCACCTCGACCATCGGCGGACTCCGACACATCACGGTTCGAATCTCGGCCACGCCATGGCATATGGCATATGCTTCCGCACCTCCACACGACGTGGCTAATCTCGCGACGTCAGACTCTCTTGCCACATCTGCATCATGAGCCACTTCGCGATCTACCTGCTTGCGCTGGCGGCGCTGCGCCCCGCGGCGTCTCTCGGCGTGGGGCTGCAAGACCTCGCGTCGCTGCCGAAATACCGCGTCGACTTCCTCAACGACCTCCCGCTGTGCGAGAGCGACGCGGCCGCGATCCGCGCCCACGGCCTGAGCCACGAAGACGAGTTTCTGGCACTCCACCCCGGCCGGCTGGAGCGGGACACGATTGAAAGCGCCGCCGACTCGACCGACATGCTCAAGACGAACGAGCTGACGCTCGCGCAGGCGGACCGCATCCCCCTCGTCCCCATGCTCTACGCGCACCCCACATCCGACCACCCACACACATACCTCTGCGCGCTGCCGAGCGCAAACACTACGCGCGCGCAGACGGTGCTCGACGACGCGCACGACGAGCCCGACCCCGACCCCGAGGCCAGCTGGGCCGCCCTGGCCCACCTCGACGGCCAGTGCCTCTACCTCCGCCTCCCGCAGTCGTGGTTCACTTACGCGTGCGTGTCGTGCTCGCGCAGCTGACAGCAGGTACTGCCACAACAAAGACATCCGGCAGTTCCGGGAGAAGCCCGTGCCGCACCCGCACCCGGAGGGGTTCGTGCCGCAAGAAGACACGGGGTACGACGCGTACACGCTCGGCGTGGCGCGGCCGAAGGGCCAGCGCGAGCGCGAGCGCGGGCGCGAACGCGCGCCAGAGCAGACCGCAAGCTTCGGCCAGTCGCACGCGTCCCGATACCTCGTGCAGCGGTGGACGGAGGGCACGCGCTGCGACCTCACGGGCAAGCCGCGCGAGATCGAGGTCCAGGTCTACTGCTCGATGACGGGCACCGACATGATCTACATGGTCAACGAGGTCGCCATCTGCCAGTACGTCATGGTCATCCATTCGCCGCACCTATGCTCGATGCCGGGGTTCCGGCCGGCCGCAGGCGCAGACATCACGCCGGCGCCGGTGCGCTGTCGCGAGGTCGTGTCCGACGAGGAGTTCGACGAATGGGTCGAGCGCGACGACCGCCTGCGGATTGGGGAAGAGGGGGAAGGGGAGGGGGAGGGTGAGGGAGAGGGAGAGGAGGAGGGGGAGGGGAGAGAGAAGGCCCCGAAGAAGGGCATCAGCGATGCGGATCTCGCGGCGATACTGCAGGCTGCGTTTGGGGGTGCGCCGAAGAAGGCGGGCGAGAAGCCGGCTGCGCCGTTGAGCCGCGGCAAGGAGGAGAAGGCGGCGGCCCGCGAGTCCGAGCCCGAGCTCTACGTCGTCGAGTGGGAGGACACGGACGGCGTGCGCGTGCCCGTCGACGTCGAGTCTGTTCCCCCTACGCAAGGAGAACCCAGGCGAGCGTTTCTCGAGCGGCTCCGCGCTCTGATCGAGAAGGAGCTCGATGAGGGCAAGGCGGGCAAGTCTGACAAGGCGGACAAGTCTGACAAGGCTGCCAACGCAGGCAACGCAGGCAAGGACTCTGCATCTGGGGCAGAGGACGAGTCTGAGCGCGCGCAGGCGCCCGGCGCCGGGACAGAACGAGAGAAAGCAGCCGCGCACGCTCAGCGCGACGAGCTTTGATCTCTGACATTATAGACAGCAGCTAGATGCATACACAGCAGACACGTGGCGGTTGACGCGTGGCGCAGGAGACGGCGGCGATGAGGCACACCTGGTATGAGATTGCAGAGAGGACCTAGGGGCTAAGAGGGATCACGGAGACTACTAGACAATGTCCCACAGCTCCTCCATGGCGCAGCAGAACTTGCCGCACGCGACACTGGCCGAGAGCGAGTAGTCGGAGATGGAGATTTTCTGGTCGACGTACGCGTCGGCAAAATTGTCTGGCCCGCGGGCCATGGCGCCGACGAAAACGCACACGCTGTGCGACTCGGGGAGGGTGGGGAGGAACTGGGAGAGGCGGATGGTGGGCGCGTCGCCCGAGAGAGTGAGCTTGATCGTGTTGGTGGGGAGGTGGTCGGTGATGGGGTTCTTGATGACGCGCAGCAGCTTTTCCGAGCCGTTCACGCCACGAATAGATAGCTTGTGCAGGAGCTGGACTGCACGTTAGCGGATGCACGTTCGATCGAGCGGCGACTGTCTGTGCACCGATACATGACTCACCCATCAGGCCCGAGAAACGCTTAAACGTTCGCGGTATCCGCACGCTCGGGTTGACCTCGATGAGCACGCCCTTGGCCGTGTGGATGTAGACCTGGAGAAGGCCGGCCTTGTTGAGCGGGCTGTCGAGGAGGGTGAGGAGACACTGGTGCGTGATGTCGGGCCGCGCGTCGGCAATGTCGCGCCCGTTGCGCGCCAGAATGCCCTGGTGGTCGTCGCAGTTCAGCAGCGCGTACTTGGCCTCCTTGCCTGCCGCATTCTTGCCTCCACTCCCACTCGACACCTTGTACGCTTCGAGGCACGCCTGGTGTCAACACAGATCTCGCGGTATGCAACCACTGCAATCTTGAGTGGGACGATGGGACGCCGCGCTCTCACACATCTCCCAGATCAGACTGCCAAACTAACCTGCGAAAGAACGACTATCAGGCGCCGCTTGTTGTCCTTCTCCGCGTGTGTCTTGGGTACAGTTGCCGCCTGCGGGACCATGTTGGCCGCCGCTGCCGTCCTCCTCGAGTTGGGAAGGGGGCGGGTGACACGCGCCTTTGCGACGGCGGCTGTGAGCGCCTCGCGCGCCTCGGCGCTCAGAGGCGCACTTCCCCCCGTCGCCGAGCCCGAAGCCGCCACCGCCGCGTCTTCATCGTCGCTCATCCTCTCGTCTTTGAACGCGCGCGGCTTGAACTCTGGCGCATCGGCCGACATCTTGGACGCCTTCCATGGTGGCTGGTGAGCGGGATTTGACGCGCGTCGCTTGGGCGGAGATGCGCCACGGTCGCGGTGAGAAGGCATGGCGGATGGGGGATGGAGTGAGTTGGTGGATTGCAGGTTTCTGAAACTTATCAAGGCTCAGGTCCGGCAGGCAGGTTCGACGGCGGGATCAAAATTCCATAACACGGCCTCAATTTTCCACCTTCCAGATCAGAATTCAGACGATCTAGTCGAGGCTTCATGGTAATAACTGCAGCGGCGCAACAAAGCATGGAAAGAGAGTAAAAAAGACCCTGCAGCGAATTAAGAGTACACAAATGTGCATCAACTACAACCCAAAGCCCAAAGCTTAGGCGGCGAGGAGGTTGGAGAGGAACTGCTCGCCGGCCTTGCCGGTCGAAGCGGCCTTCTTGCCACCCTTGCCGGCCTTCTTGCGCTGCTGGCGGAGGAGCTCCTGGCGGCGGATGGTCTTGGCGTAGGGGTTGAGGCGGAAGAGAACAGCCTTGTTGCGGAGGGGGTTCTTCTTCTGGGTGAAGGGGCGCTTCTGGGTGGGCTGGCCGGCGGGGCGAACAACCGACTGGATCTCGTCCGAGTTGATGAGGCGGGTAACGTCGGTGTTGGTGATCTTGGCGGTGGGGAGGGTGAAGCCCGACTTGTTCTCGTAGATCGAGTCAAGCGACTTGATGGCGTCCTCAGTCCAGATGACGAAGCGGCCGACGTGGCCACCGGGGGCGAGCTGGAGGAGGTTGAGGGCGTCAACGGGCGAGGTCTCGACACCGGGGACGTTGCGGAAGGCGCGAACGAGACCCTCGTCCTTGCCGTAGACGACAAGGGGGCCGCGGCGCTGGCGGTAGCGGCGGTTGCGCCACTTGCCCTTGCCGGCGCGGATCTTGCGCGAGTTCGAGACCTTGACGACGTCGGGGTAGGCGGCGAGGGTCTTGAGGAGCTCGACGGCGGCCTTGGTCTTGTCGACCGACTCAACCGACGACGAGACGACAAGGGGGACCTCCTGGATCTGCTCGATGCGGTGGCCGCGAGCAAGAACAAGCGAGGGGACGGCCGAGGCGGCGAGAGCCGAGGCGACGGCGAAGCGGCGCTGGTTCTGGTTCACCTTGACGTGCCACTTGCGCCACGTCTTGGTGGGGGCGAACATGCGACCGCCACGGCACATGTTGCCGAAAGCGGCCTGGCCGGAGCGCTGGGTACCACCACCGCCAACACGGGGGATACGGGCGACGGCACGACCAGTGCCCCACGACTCAGCCGAGGTCTGGTGACCAGCCTTCTCCGAGACGGCGTAAGCCTGGCGACGGTTCTTGGCGATCGACTCTGGGAGGTTAGCGCTGTCGTATTGCGCGTGCGCGCGCGACTTGAATCGGCTTGGCTGGCAGGCGAGGGACGACACTGTGAAATTTCACAGCCCCTCCGCCAGCGCGCAGACGGATCGCGCGATATTCGAGACTCACTGTGGACCTGCTGGACCACGTCGATACGGATGGGGGCCTGCCGTTAGCATGCATTCATGGATGCTGCTCGAGAAGAGCAAGGAGGGCATGCGCGCAAGCCGCACACCACCGATCTCGCAAGATCGACTTACCGAGAAGACGGCGGGGAGGGGGACAGAGCCCGAGGACTCGCCAGCAGCAGAGAAGACGGAGACGGTGGGACGGGCGGCCATTTTCTGCTGTTAGTCGCTGTCGTTGGTGTCGAGCTCACGATCTACTTGAAGGCTGGAGGAATCGACAGGTTGTCCTGGCGCGAAAATCCCCCAGGCGCACATTCTGACCGCCGTTTGGATCCGCCACGTGGCGGATTGTCCGGCGTTAACATTGCATCCGAGCGTGGCGCTCTGGCGGGTGGAGGTCTCTGATTTCGTGTTCCGATAATCGAGCTTCGAGATTGCCCGGTTCATCGTCCAGCAACAACAATGGCCAAGGGAGCTAAGCAGAGGTGAGCGCACACGTTTGGCTGGGCTGACTCCCCAGGCGCATTCTTGTGCGGCTCGTGTCTTCCGCCCTCACGGGCTTCTTCTACACCACTTCGCGGACACGACTTGCCGACAAGTTGCAGATGATGAAGTACGACCCGGTTGGTGAGTGCGGAGACTCTAAGTGGCTGGTTGCGGCCAGGAGTGCGAGGCGTGCATAAGCATTGGTGCCAGAGGAGCAACCCATGCGGCACAGCGGGCTGGTTCCGACGTGGCCATGCTGACATCAGTCAAGAAGCGCGTCCTTTTCATCGAACAAAAGATCAAGTAGACGAAGCTTATGCGCGGCCTGTATGCATATACCCTCACTCCCAACCGCGCACGACCACGAGGATATCGCCGGTTACAATCTGCGGGCCAGCGGGGCAAGTCAGATCGAGGGCAGTGGCAGTGCGTGACCCCGGCCGGGGTGAAACGATGAGTACGGTGATGGGCTTAGGTCAGCGTAGGTATCTAGTGAAGCCGCATTCGGTCTCGGAGGGAAGGGCCCGAGGAACAGGCTGGAGATGGGCGAGCGATAGTCGAAGAGGGAGGGTAGAGACTTACCATGCCAGTCCTAGACATCTTGGTGCGCGCCACCAGCGTGTCGAACAGCTTACCGCCGGGCATGACGTGCGGAACCCACACCCTTTCCGGCTTGCCGGTCACCATTGCTTGCCCCACAGATGTTGGTGCATATTTGCCCTCGCCAGCGAGCCAAGTTCTTAGGCGGGTCCCGCCTTCGTCGACCACGAACTCGATCGCTGCGCTCTCCTCTCGGGGCACCTTGGGATCGAGGGGCCGCGCTAGTGACCGTGTTTTGATTTGGTGCAGCTTGTAAAGTTTGTCGTCAGCGGTGAGAGTGGCAGGTGGGACTGGAGATTCCCTAGGCGGCGGAGGGGCGGCGACGGTCGGAGCAGCGCCTGACTGTTCGGAGCGCGGCGGCGACCCCGTCCGTGTCCGGTCTACCTGTTTCGGGATACCTAGGCGCTCCTTTGTATGGCCCGGGAAATGCCTAGCCAGAACCTCTGCAGCCTTCTCCCTCCGCACCGCAGCCGCAACCTGTCGCGCATGCAACGCGCGTGGAGCGCCACATTCGTGCGCCTCTTGGCTCCTGTGCCTGGTGTGAGCGCCGGCCCCCACTACACGTACTTGACGCAGTACGCGTTTCCGCAGGTACATCTGACCTCGCGGGCGACATCGTCTGCTGAACCCTCCAGGCCGCCGATACTCTCAATCGTTTCTTCGTCACATCCGCCGTACGCACAGATGCCGCGCAATCGCTTCCGCCACTCGGGACGTGCAGCCGCTGGTGTAGGACAGTCGTGCGTCTGCACGTGCTCCCTGCAGAAGACTTTGGAGCAGCCGGGGCACGAGAACGGGAGGAAGTCGACTAGTGCGCAGGCATGGCAGCGCGCGCCGATGTCGAGGAGGCTCATGATGTAGTTGCAACACGCCTGATGCGGGCGGGAGTATCTTTGGGTGGCGATTCAAGGGTGAGTCAACTGGGGGTGGAGGCCGTCCACTCGTCATACTCCACTCCACTTCCGACTAAAGTCTTACTCTTTCCTAAACCTCAAAATCCAAAGTCATCCATGGAAGACGACCCCGAATTCCTCGAGCTCTCCGTGAGGCAGAGGCGAGCGATTGACCGCGCGTTCGCGCGTGGGCTGCGAGCTGCCAAAGGCCGGCCGTCAAAGCGTCGACGATTGAACACATCTGGTCCCACAACCGGGCCAGCAACTCCATCAGGCGAAAACGACGGTGGTGGTTTCATCGCCGAAGACGACGCCGGGGGCTTTCTCCCGGATGAGGGTGGGGGATTCATCGACGACGGCGGCGGGTTCATCCCTGACGACGATGCTGGGGGATTTATTCCAGAGGATGACACAGGAGGACTCATTCCTGACGACGACGATGAAGGAGTCGGCGGCGGGGGGTTCATGGTCGACGACGAGGCTTCTGCTGGTCCGTCCGCCGGTCCTTCGACACGCGCAAGCCGTGCTGCTTCAACCAACGCAGACTCCGATGATCGGCTTCCCCTCCGCTTGATGCCGAATCTCCTTTCTGCTTTGGGTCTTCCCTCGGACGAGGATGTCCTCTCGGTCTTCAGAGCAATGGACGACAACGGCGTGCGTCACAAGGACTTTAGGGCGGTGTGTGCGGCGCTCATGCCCCCCGACGACGCGCCGCCTTCGAAGGGAGATGACGGAGACGAGGGGGAAGACAATGACGACGAAGACAGCGATTGGGACATGAGCTCGGGTTCGGACTCGGACAACTTCGAGCCCTCTGACGACGAAGAGTACGGTGCGCCCAAGGGTAAGGGCAAGGCGGCGACCAAGTCGCGCCGCGCGAAGGCCCTCGAGGACACGGGGCGCGCCAAGTTGCTGCCGCGCCAGCGGGAGGTAGCCCGCGCTTTGTGGGGCTTGGTCAAGCCCGATGAGAAGGGAGGGATCTTGTCTCGAGACGAGGTCAAGCGCTGGGCGCGGGAGCTCGGTGAGATGTGGTCTGATGATGAGGTGAGATTGGACAAGAAGGGGTCTGACAGCAGATCACGGACATGGTCACGCTGTTCTCGGGGCAGCATGAGGGACGCGGACTGACATTTGAGGACTTTGGGGTCGTGATGCTTCGAGCGGGCTTGGTGTAGAGATGCATGGCCGCGATTGTCGACCTCCCGGCTCTACGAACACTTCCCAGCAGAATCCATTTTCGGAACGCCTGCATGGTTCATTTCATCTCGCTCCTACCACGTGAAGCTCATTGTCACAAGAGGTCCAGGCGCTACCGGTACTTGGCCTTGCGATCTCAACCCTGTCAGCGACGCGGCACCTTCCCGTAGTGGCCTATCGGGCGGCCTTGCTATATAATCAGGCCGTGTGCTTTGCACGCGAGAGTTCGAATCTCTCAGGTGTCGAGAATCAGTTCTCCCGCCGACTGGCGGTATCCTTTTGGCGCGGCAGGTGGGACCATATGGTGGCCTGTGCAAGAGTTCACAGATCACAGATTACACGGTTTGCTCCAGCACAAGTCCCATCCCACGTGTTGCTCCTCATGCCACACTGCACTCGACGCCTCGTGGCGCCGTACACTTCACAGCTGCTCATACTCACACGACTTGGTGCTACACAGAACCACGCCAGTCGGTCCGCGCCATTCATTCATTATGTTCAATCCTGAGGCGGGGTGAGACAAGGCGCCGCTGCCGTCAGCACTTAACACGAAATGCAACTCTTCGCGAGCGGACAGTGCCAAGCAATTGTGGAAGCTCCTCTCCTCCCCTTCCCCTCACTCGCACAAAAACAAACAATCCTCCCTGCCTCTGTTGAACTCTTGAAGCAAGATGACAGTGACACACGGAAAGTGCAACGGTGCGAGACAATCACCATTGCCCACCTTGGAATGGAGTTCCTCTTCGCTCTTCGCCATCTTTCCCGTTCATGGGATGCTAGCTCCACGACGCGAGTCTTCAGCTCTCCCCTCCATCACATCGTCACACATAAAGCGCACGTCCATGACAACACTGCCCTTGTCTTGGCAGGTTTCTCCGCTGCCTCTGAGACTTTCTGGGTCACAAATGACTGGAGTCAGGAGTGCGGGAAGACTGAATACTTCTGTGGAATGACTCCACCATCTGTCGGCTGCCATTGTTAAGGGAGACTGTACCAACGGAGGTAACTGTGGCTCGCAACCTGCGACCTGGGCGGGACGCTGCCCTAAGCGTACCCGGACTGAATAATGGAAGCTCCTCGCCAGGGCGGAAGGTGAGAGGGTGGCGGCGCCACGCTGCCAAGGCGGCACTAGACAGCGTGCGCGCCGGCTCACGCTGCAGGCGTACGGCGAGCGCTCTATGACGGAGCTGGCGCGCGGGGCACGGCGGACGGCTAATCTGCTCTCCACGTTAATTGGGATCGACGTTCGCTTTGCGTTCCGTTCTTTTATGTGTCACAAAAGTGCTACACATGCGTTCACAAGCTAGCGAGCTAGCGAGGTAACAAAATGAAGTTGAAGGTTTGGTTCCAGCTGTCACGGGACCGGGCCGGAGACGGCAGCCGAAGGTGTTCTTCCGAGGTCCGTGAGCCCACGACACTGGGCGGGGATGACCTCCTCCAAAGCGCTTGGCCTTCGATCGGGGTCTTCGTCTTCCATGCACCTCCCTACCTGTACGTAATAAAATCACGAAGACAACGCAGTTCTGAGCACGGCAGGATACAAAACCCATTCTGCGCGGGATGGCCCTGCATTTGCGCCAGGGCGACGGAGATTAGATGTGACTGTGATCGGCCAGGGAATTGCTTCATCACTTCAAATGTGGCGTTGCACCATTACTCGACCGTGACATTTACCTCTCGTCGTCCCACCGCATGCACTGGCGGGCGCGCCTCGTCGCCGAGGGTTCAGCCGTGGCGCATGCAGTCTCCACGCGCTGCTGGAGGCCAAGGTCCCCCGCGCATTCCGGGTTCCAGGATTAGGTCCCAACGCGGGTTTGTCCCTGCGTCGCCAGTGTTGGATTTGCAGACTTGACCGCAGCGACTGCTCACACCCAAGACTTACATGCAGCTGTGGGATCCGTTGTCATTGTCGCTCACTCGTTCTCATTCTTAGTCGCTCGTCTTCACAGCTCGCCCCACGCCCAGCTTGCGCGCGTATGCCCTCGAGGTACCCGTTCGCCTGTTGATGGCCCCCTCCCCCGACACACTCCTTGCCGGCCGCGGCGCAGCCCGCCATGACTGTCGACCCCTCTTTCATCGCGGACGAGATGATTACGCACCTCGTCCAGCTTGCGCCCGAGATCACTGCGATGGAGAATGAGACGTGGGTCATTATAGTTGACACGGTCATTCTTGTGGGTCGGAATCACCAGCAGTGAGCTCACGCCAGGTCCTCACCATCATCGGCGCTTTCTTCATTCTCGGCGGAATGGCGTTGAACGAGTTTCGCAAGCGCGCATCTACAACCCGCATGCGTCTCGTGCAGTCGCTCATCTTCAGTGACGTTCTCCTTGGGTGAGCGTTCGCTCCTCGTCAAAGCTGACATCAGCGTTGTCGGCCTGATCGGCTGCACGCTTACACTTGACAACAAGCCGTTGAGGATCGACACGCCGACATGCGATGGCCTCGGCGTGCTCTTCCACGCCATCATCTTTTCCCAACACTGCTGGACGCTTACCCTCGCGTTTTGCACCTACATGATCCTCACCAAACCTTTACACATTGTCACATCCTGGATTGAGAAGTACTGGATTTGGTCCTGGCTCGTTGTCTGGATCATCTCCTTCACAGTCTCGGTTGCAACATACCTCGTTTACGGGTATCAGCCCGCCGGCGGCATCTGCTACCTCGGCAACAACACCGGCCTGTACGGCGAACTCATCCAGTTCATCCCGCGCGCAGTTGTTTTCCTTTTCATCTCCTTTTTCTACGGACGGCTTTACGTCTTCCTTCGCCGGCCCGATAAGATTCGCAGCGGGATTTCAGACAACTCGCTCGGCGAGTCGAGCTACTCGAAGATGAAGCACTCGTGGATGCGCAGCTCGCGCTCCCGCGTACCATTCATCAAGACGCGCCAGACCAAAACCGTTGTCTTGAACGACAAGGGCGAGCGTGTGTTCGTCGACACGGCAAGCCACACTGCCTCAAACGCGAGTCATGCGAGCTCTGCAGGCAATACCAGACCCAGGCCTCCGCCCATTGTTGTAGAACAGCCCGTGATCGAGTCCACACCGGAAGAGCCACGCGCCAAGTCGCCCATCCGTGCCAAGTCTCCCAGCCGTGCCAAATCTCCTGATCCTGACATTCCACCATGGGAACGCATCGAACTGCCCGTCTTCCAGATCGACGGGCAGAGGTACGGCGGATCGTCGACGCCTGCTCGCGAGTATACATGGGCCGAGTGGCGTTTCTCCGGTCGTCGCACCAAAGCCTCTACGCCAGTGCCACCCGCCGAGACGAGCTCCTTCACCACCACCTCATCCCCCCTGTCGTCTACATTCAAAGAGTCGTATGACAAGTCTCTACCGAAATCAGTCACGCCGACAAGCTCCAACTTTGGCCAGTCTTCGCAGACCTCGCCGGGCGCCGCGTCCTTCTCGAGTGCTGCACTCCGCATGGTCCACGAGATGGGCGGGTCGAATTGTGGCAGCGACACGGGATACAGCTCTACCCCAACCGCCGTGGAGGCTCATTTTAGCCGGCGGCCGTCGCAGGCCAGCGGCTCCTCCCTTCCAGAGAGGAGCGATATTGCTAAGCCGCTTCGGGTGTTTGCCCGCGATGGGCCTTCCCCGATGGACACCTTCAACTTTGAGGAGCGGCGACCGTCGCTGCCCAACATCGGCTCAATGCCAATACTCAGCCAATGGCGGCGTCCATCATATTGCCCTCCGATCCTGCGGCCGGCTTCGCGCACAGCCGCCGCTCCCTCGGCACAGACCAGCACTCTAACCGGAGTCGACCTCGAGCAGGGCTTCATTGTGCTCGACGAGGAGAAGGCGGAGAAGATGCCCTTGCCGAAGGAGGAGAGTGTCGAGGACGACCAATGGGACCTCAAGCGGTTCCTCGACGCGGAGCCGGCGCCGGCCGGCGACGACCCGTTCGTCGTAACACAGCGCTCCGAGAACGTCGAGTACGTCGCCGAGAGCATGGCGAGCTACCTGAACCGCAAGACGGCGCTGCTCATGCTGTGGTTCCCTCTCGGCTACCTCGTCCTGTTCTCCGTCTCCCTCATCCAAATAATCTACGACTTTGTCGGCAACCCTCCCGGCGAGCTGCGCGCCATCAGCCGCTGGATGATCTTCGGGCAGGGCCTGCTCAACGGCATCATCTACGGCATCGTCGAGTGGCACACGAAGCGTGTCGTGCGGCGCCGCGTGCGCCGCGGCACATTTTCGCCACACACATCCCACCACTCGTCCCACCACCTCGCGGGCCTGCAGGCCCTGCGCCACCCCATTCGATACTACCATGAGCACCACCCGCACTCGCACTCGCACTCTCACACGCATTCTCACTCAAAGCACAAAACAGAGGCTGAGGCTGGCGCGAGCCAGATTGCCTCGCGCCGTTCGCCGCAAGTCAGCTTCGCCGACCCCGAGAGCAGCATCATGCAGCGCCTCGACCTGAAAGATCGCGGGCCGACGCTAGACGAATACTAGAGTGTACCTTGTATGTATGAGTATGGATCTGAAGACTAGCGAAAGTGTCAGTGGCACGGCAATCGAGCGTCAATGAAATGTGCGATTCTCATGAGATAAAGTGGAGCATGGAGCTGTCGCTTCAACTGTCCGACTCTGATGCCACTTTCACTGCTCGAGCAGTGGCCAAGTGCGACGTCATTTCGCGCATGCATCGGCCGAAACATGTCGCATCTGGAAGAGTGAGCATCGTCCACTTCATCGCTCTGCATTCCTTCATGCATACTGACATTCCTGGTTCAGTCTCACCCCACGTGCATAAGGTCTTGGCAGACGCGGCATCTTGGTTCAATCCACTTTCTCTCGCCGTCGGCCGCTCACTTTGACACTTCTGACTCAGCAGTGCTAAAGGCGAACCTTTCAGCTGCGCCAGCTGTCCAGGCTCTTCTACTGACAACCAAACCTTCGCTGCGCGCTGTGCGCGATCCCTGACCCGAGATCGAGGTTCTGAACTCTTCTGTCCTGCGACCTGCGTCAACACCGCCATCTTGCAAAGCCCAACCGCGCTCCCAGACATCCGGAATCGCCTTCTAGTCCCTCCGCGACCCTTGCGAAACCCTTTGTGGCGGCGTCGGCCGAATCGGAGACGGCGCCGAGCCGCCGACGTCATGCTTTAGCACATGGGCCACAGGTCGAGAAAGGTCCGGGCTTACGGTCGTAATTTTATCAGATAAACTAATTGGGCGTTGCGCGGTCGCTCACTTGTCTTGTGACCATGACATGGAGAGCTCGGCTCGGCCAGGGGTGGCGCGAGGAAATAGATCCATGCAGCTTTTCGCTGCAGCACTACATATTGCCGGGGGAGGCAGGAGATGAGCGCTCTCACCCCCACCTAACCGATCATGGCAGAGCTGTACGACAAGCCCGCCAAGGCAGCCGACGTCGTGCGCACCGACGGCTCGGACGTCGTCGTCGAGACCAAGTCGCCCGGTGTGCGCCGCATCGAGGCCATCTCGTCGTGCTTCACCTCGTGGCACAAGTGGACGCTGTTCATCTCCATCTTCCTCGTTGCTTGTGCGTATTTACGCGGTGCACCCGCTGACAACCAGACGCCTACGGCCTGGACGGCACCCTCCGCTACACTTACCAGAACTTTGCGACGGCCAGCTGGTCTAACCAGGCGCTCATCTCGACACTCAATGTCATCCGTGCTGTCGTCGCCGCCGCGGTGCAGCCGGCCTACGCCAAAATCTCGGACTACTTTGGCCGTGTCTCGGTCCTCTTCCTCTCCGTCATCTTCTATGTCATCGGCACGATCGTCATGGCCGCTGCCAACAGCACGGAGACTTTCGCCGGCGGTGCTGTTATCTACCAGTTCGGCTACTCGGGCCTGATGAGTGCGTCGCCCTGCGAGTATTGTGCTAACCGCAGTCCTCGTTGAGATCCTCATCGCCGACACGACGTCGCTCCGCAACCGCCTCTTCTTCTCCTACATCCCTGCGTACCCGTTCATCATCAACGCCTGGGTGTCCGGTGACATCGCCCAGGCCGTCATGGCCAACTCGACTTGGCGCTGGGGCATCGGCATGTGGGCTATCATCTTCCCCGTGCTCACCCTCCCTCTGTTCTACAGCCTCATCTCGGCCGAGCGCCGTGCCTACAAGGCCGGGCTGCTCGACGACGTCCCGAGCCCCTACAGGCACGTGTTCAGCGTGCGGCTGTGGAAGGACTTCTTCTTCCAGGCGGACATTATCGGCCTCTTCTTCCTCGCCGCCACGATCGCCCTCATCCTCGTGCCCCTCACCCTCGCGGGCGGCGTCACGGACTCGTGGCGCACCGCGCGCATCATCACACCGCTTGTGGTCGGCGGCGTGGTCGCCTTCCCCTGCTTTGTCGTCTGGGAGGCCAAGTTCGCGCCGCACCCGCTCATGCCCTTCCGCGTGTTCAAGAAGCTCGCCGTCATCTGCGGCTTCGGTATCGCGCTCATGCTCAACACCGCGTGGTACACGCAGGGCGACTACCTCTTCACGACACTCCAGGTCGCGTTCGGCAAGGACATCAAGACGTCGACGTACGTGACCAACGTCTACTCGTTCGTGTCGACGATCATCGGCATGATTCTCGGCATTACTGTGCGCTACGTGCGGCGCCTCAAGCCGTTCGTCGTCGTCGGCTCGCTCCTCTTCATCCTCGCCTTCGGCCTGCTCATCCGCTACCGCGGCGGCCACTCCGTGTCCGACTTTGCCGGTCTCGTCGGTGCCGAGGTCGTCCTCGGTATCGCCGGTGGTTTCGTTCCCTACACGACGCAGGCGTCGCTCCAAGCCGAGGTCAAGCACGAGCGCACGGCGACCATCACCTCGCTCTTCTACAGCGCGTACAACATTGGCAGCGGAATCGGTAACACGATCGCCGGCGCCATCTGGACCAACACGATGCCCAAGCACCTCCTGTCGAACCTCGAGCGCGCGGGCATCGCCAACGCGACCGGCATCGCGTCTGCCGTCTACGGCGACCCGTTCACGTGGATCGCCTCCAACCCCGTCGGCACGCCGCAGCGGGAGGCCGTCGACCTCGCGTACCGTGAGGTCCAGCGCCTGCTCACCATCGCCGGTATTTCGATCTCGTGCCTGCTGCTGGCGTTCTCGCTGGGTCTCAACAACCACCGCCTTACGGACAAGCAGTCGCTCGACAATGCCGAGGGCGAGTCGGTCCACTCGACCGAGACGGACCTCAGCGATGCGCAGACCGACGTGGACGCGGACGTGCGTGTGGGCGAGAAGGCGCCGCGCGTTTGAGCGAAGAGAGGGGAGTGCCTAGATCTTATAGTTTGAGCTTGCATGAAGGAATGCTTCGTCTCGACATTGGATGGCTGCTGGAAAGGGTCAGCAAGATATTGGAAGGACTTTTCATCTCCAAGCTCACTTCGTGGTAGACCACCATCACCATACAACACTTCAGTCTCACACTCCACATTCCCCCAGTACCTAGTACTGGCCTTCGGTAAAGTCGAGGACGAGCTTGCTCTCGACGCCGACGCGCGCCTCGACGCGTTCCTGGCGTCAGCCTATTCTTTCATCTCGGACCCACCTTGAAAGCCTTGTACGCCGGATCGGTGAACACCCAATAATCCCGATCCGCCTCACACGCAAACTCGAGCACGAACACGACATGCATGCCGTCCGCCATCGCGAGCGGGCTGTTCTGCTTGCCGCCCGTCACGCGCCGTATATACGGTGCGCCATTGAGCCGCGCCGTGTCCGGCAACGACGTGGCGGCGCGCACGAGCGCCTGCGGGTCGCCGGACGGGGCGAGGCGGTACGCCACGACGTGGTGTACGGGCCGTGGGGGGCGCATGCGGCGCGGCACGTAGTGCGGTGGAAGGGGGAGTGTGAAGGGCAAGGTGGGGCGGGCGGGAGGCGTGTACAGCGGAGGCGTGAGGGGAGGCGTGGGTGCGGTGGTCGGCGGCGGCGTGTATGGCGTGTACGGCGTGAAGGGGGTGAGAGGCGCGAGGACCTCGTGCACGGCGGCGGACATGTTTGGAGTTGCACGAGACGCCCCATGGCCTTATGTAGCGCCCGAGAGTGCAGCGGTTGCAAGATGTAGTCAGCGGGGTAGTCAGCGCCGCCGATCTGTCGATCATCGACGAGTGAGACATTAGCAAGGGAGGGGTCTGGCGGCGTCTGGAACGTGCCTGGCGTCATCGATGTGTGTTGCGGAGCAAGACGATCCGCGGTCGGGTTTATCAGCGCTCCCAACTGGGACGTCAAGTGACGAGGGTAGATTATGATGCGGCGTTCCGTGGGTCCGTGGACTGCTGCAGGATCATGCACGAGTCATGCACGGTTTGAGCGGAAGGCGGCGATGCGGGGAGGGCGATGGGACTGCTGACTGTACGTGCCGTACTCAAGTGCGGGCTGATGCGGAATGTCGGGAGGAATTCGCCGCAGCCGCAATCGGCGCGCTCGTCGTTCGTCACTACGGCAGGATGCAGAGAATAGCAAGAGCCGCGGTGGGACTGATATGCGAATCGACGCCAAGTATCACAAGGCAGAGTCGCCTAATGCAATACCTTGATGCGGCATGAGTGGCACCCTAGCCTTGAATACTGGACCAAGCAACCGAATGCGACTGTCAAACAGCACTAGTGTCCAATGCCATACGCACTAGGCTGAGGGTGGCACCCTTAGACGTGCTACTGGGGGTGACCGTCAATCGTTGGCAATGGACACTTGTCGGGCTGACGTCGTAATCTGTCGTTGGCTTGCATCTCGGCGCCCCAGAGGCGTGAGTGTATAACGATCTCTGACCGTCGTTCATGACACTGTCGTCCACAGCACCGTTCTACCCGCTCTCAGCCAACCGTGCATCAGAACACACCCGGCATAAAGTCGAGCACCACCACATCTTCGACCCACCCCGCGATCTTGTCCTGCCGTAAGCCTCCGCCCTCATTTCCATTACCAGCCTCCGCGACACACCTTGAACGCGCCGTGCGCCGGATCTTGGGCGATATAGTAGTCTGCATCCTCCTGGTTCTGCCATGAGCCTTGCCTCCCCCGCACCCACCGCGAACTCGAGCAGGAACACGACCTGCGTCCCGCGATCCTTCCCTTCGGGCGACGTCTGCCGCCCGCCGCTCGCCGCGCGGATGTACGGCTTGCCGTTACGCACACACTGATCTTTGAGCGCGAGCATGGACGCCGTGAGGGGCGCGATGTGGGCAGCGTCCGCGAGCTTGAACGCGACTGGTGTCAGTTTCGTGTGGGACGGACGCACCGATGTGGAACACGCCCATGGCGGCGGGGACGGCGGAGAGGCCGCGCAGGAGGTATCCGAAGAGGACGAGGGCGAGGGCGGCAGCAACAACGAAGGCGAGCGGCGGCTGGGTCTTGCGGTAGCTCCCGTCGAGGCGGTTCCAGTTGTTCATGGGAGTTGGTGTGGATGTCGCTGAGTTCGCTGAGTGGAGGTGGAGGTTAGTGAGGACGGATTAGGAATAGGCCTTGCGGATTAGCATCCTCCACCGTCAACGATCGACGTCAGCCAACTTTCCATCACTCCGTCGCCATGTTCAAGCTCCCCCGGCGCGCACGCGCGCCACGCACCGTCGCCGCCCCGGGCGCCCTCCCGCTCCAAGACTACTTCGGCGCGCTGGGATACCTCGCCCTCCTGTTGGGCGCGTGCATCGCCATCCTCCCCCGCTCGACCGACTACTTCCTCATGACGCCGCACACGCAAAGCGCGAGCGCCGACCGCCCCGAGCACCCCTTCCTCACGCCGATCACCGCGCACCCCGCCGCGAGCGCGGCGTGGTGCGCCGCCGGCGTCGCGACCACGATGGTGTGGTGGGGCAACAAAGTTGCCCGGTGGTGGGGTGCGCCGCCGACATTTGGGGAGGTGAGTCGAGTCGGATCGGTAGGGGCGAGAGGTTGAGCTGCGATGCGCGGGTCGCAAGCAGTCCGCGTCTCGTTTTCTGTCGCAATGACGTCCTGTCCGACTTCGACGTCTCTGAGCAGTCTCCCCCTGCCTACTCTCCCCGCGTCTCTAACCCCAGCGCTCCCGCGACGCCCTCCTCGCCACGGCCGGCACCGCCCTCCTGCTCTTGAACGTCATCACGCTCCTCGGCGCGCCGGTCTCGCACATCCTCGAATCCGCGCTGCTGGCACTCACGCTCGCGCTCCTCACCGCGTGGCCGGTCGTGTACGTGCTCGGCATTCCGAGCATGTACGACGACGGGATCGTGGGCCGGTGGCGGATGACGCGGCTCGTGTGCGCGACGGACGCGCACGACGCGCGCGAGCGTGCGCTCGCGTACCCTCTCGCGGGGGCTTTGGTGGGCGCGTGGGCGGGCGCCGTGCCCCTCGCCCTGGATTGGGACCGGCCGTGGCAGGTGAGTGAGGGGAGGACCCACGCGGTTGCAGGTTGGCTGAGGCTAATGGTAGAGCTGGCCGCTTACCCCGCTCGTGGGCGCGCTCGGTGGTTTCGTCGCCGGAGGGTATTGGGCGTTCACGCAGTCAGCGCTCAAAGCCCTCCACCAGGATATCGAGGAGGAGAAGGCGGCCGAAGCCGCCGCGGCCGACACGACCAAGACACCCGCTCGCAAGCGCAAGAACAAGACAAAGTAGACGGCCACGACACCCTCCCTCATAGCACTACACCCACAACACAATGCACGAGATGCATGGATAATGCCAAAAATGTTCAATGCGGAATGATGGCCTCGGACAACTAAGGAGGAATATTCAATATACGTGTATGCCAGAGACAAGGAACTGTAGTGTGACAAGACAAGACAGGAGCTTACTGGCTCTCGGGGATGAGACGCAGCCAGAGGCTGCCGAGCATCGAGCGCTCGCGCACAACCTCCCATGGGCCCATGATCGCGCGCGCCGCGTCGCCGTGGCCGAATCGCGCCTCCATCGCCTGCCGGCCCTCGGCCGTGCCCTCGGCCTCGAGGGAGATCATGCCACGCCACTCGGGCGCGGCCCGGTCGCCAGGCTTGACCTCGATACCGCCGACATGGAGGTAGCGCTTGGCACTGATGCGGGCGCCAGAGGTTGTGGTGTGGTCTCTGCGCTCGTACGCGAGGCGCACCGAGGCCATCGCCTGCTGCGCCCACGGCGCAAAGTCGAGATAGATGATCTGCGGCGTCGGCAGGAAGGGGTCGTAGTACGTCGGCGAGAGCGCGAACGCATCAAGGTAATGCGGGAGGTGACCAGTGCTGCAGTGCACGTACTCGAGCGGCACAAGCTTGTGCTGCACAAAGGGCACGAAGATGAGGACGTGCTCAGTGTTGGACGGCCTACTGAGGGCTGTGTTGACCTGGGAAACGTCAGTTCTGTTTGAAAATAACCTGGCCACACTCACCACGAGATCGCCCAGGCGCATCCGCTTGCTTGCACCGCACTTTTCAAGTTCACGCCACGACGCATCAGCGCCCTCCTTGGACGGCCAGCGGGGAACTCTGTCCGAGATCGGCACAAAGACGCGCAGGATCGGGGCACGGCCGGTCATAAACGGAGGAGGGCGCTCAAATGCAAGTTCGATGCGCATCGACTGCGTGGGCGAGTCCCAGCGGCGCTGCACGGGCGAGTTGGATCCGTTGCCGTTTCCTCCCACATCCGAACGCTTCGATGAACTGCTAGTGAGGGAGGAGCGGGCGCCACGGCGCGAGCCGCCGATGGGTGGAGGTGCGGGGAGCGTGTCCAGCGAGCGACTACTCGACATGGCGCCGTTGTGGTGCGCCACCGAGCCGGACTGCACCGACATGATCGAGCCGGGGCGGCTGCCCGTGGCGCCGCCGTTGCCAGAGGGGCTGAGCGAGTTGTTGTCGCCATAGCGTCTGAACTCGTACCGCTTGGCTGTAGGGTAGCTCACGGGCGGGAACGCGGCCTTGCCTTGCGGAACGGGAGTGGCAGGCTTTTCCGCCGAGGTTGGTGACATGAAGGCAGCTGACTGGACAGAGGCCATGCTGTTCGACCGCTTGCGCCCGAATCCAAACGAGGGAGCGGCTGAAGCAATCGAGCCGATCGATCCCCTGCGGGCGACGGGTTTGCCGCTCTTGAGAGGAAGAGCAGGAGCGGTGTCGCGCGGACCAGCAGACAGTGGCTCGGGCATGACGACCTCGGTAACGCGCTCGCGGCGCGGCATCTTCATGCCACTGCCCCCGGCGTCGGAGCCGGCATAGCTTCCGGCGCGAGAACCAGGCCGAGAGCCGCTGAACGGGCGCCGAGGTCCTCCCATGCTGTGGAAGCTTCCCACCGAGCTCGACTTGTGCAAGGGCGGCAGCTGCAGGTCGTCGTCGAACGGCAGGGGCGGGGCGTACGGGAACGCAGCGGCAGGCAGCGTGCGCAGGAAGAGGACGATAAGCGAGTGCGACAAGCTCAGGTGCCTCAGCAGGTTGTGGTATTGTGCCGGATAAGTGCTGTAAACGGCAGGGTCGTGCAGCAGAGACTCGACTGGATTGTCAGCGAAGGAGCTGGATAGTTGTACTCACGGAAACCCTCCCAGACGGTCAGACCAGGCCACGAGCGCCCACGTTCGCGCTCAATAGTGATGCCCCACTCGCGCATGACCCAACGGCCGACCATCTCGCCTGAGATGTATTTGCGCAACTCATCATCCGACCCGAGGAGGTTTAGGAAGCTGTTAATGTTGAGGAACGGCAGCAGCGACATGGTGATGCGCGGATGCACAAGCAAGCTTGTCATCGACTTTTCGACCACATGCTGAAGCTTTGGACGCGGTCTGTCCATCACGCTTGACGCTCTGGCAGTGCTCGGACTGCTGGCACCCGACTGGGTAGGCGACTCTGAGCGCCGCGAGAAGCGCGATGCAACGGCCGATGCGGCGGAGGCGGTTGATACCGAGCGAGAGCCGGTGGATGCAGAGGGCGTGTGCGTGGTATGGGTGGGACTGGGCGGCATGGACACGACAGGACTGGCAAGCGGGGAAGAAGCGATCCGACGCGCTGCCTGGGCTTGAACAGATGTACGAGTGCGAGGCGGAAGCTGGTTGCCAGCAAGTACAGCGACTGGGGGAACACCATTGCCAACTCCTGCGTATGATCCAGAGGGCTGACGTGCCTCGTGCTTGGCACCACGTCGTTCAGGCACAGCGGCAGAAGATGATGTGAACTCGATGGGCGACATAAGATTCGATCCCTTTGGTGGCTGTGCTTGTGTAGAGCCCGCAGGACTGGTTGCAGCCGTGGCGGCCGCCAGGGCTGGAGCAGTGTACGGCTGTGGCTGCGGCGGAGGAGATGTGGTTTGTGTGGATGTTGACGGAATGGTGATCTTTGGGCGCGAGGACGCGTTGCTGGCCATTGGGGGTGCGACGTCTGTCAATGTCGAGAACGAGGGGGGCGGGGCGATCGAGTGTCCGGATGGGCCAGCTTGGGCCACCCTGCGAGGGTCACTGCTTGCGATGACATGGACGGTCGCGCCCGATGCCGTGGCTGAGGCTGATGGCCATGCGCCAGGCGGCGACTGGCCCAGCTCGGTGGGCAGGGGACGTCCAACAGTGGGGGGAGATATCGGACCGCCTTGCTTGGCCGAAGTAGAGCGCGCAGGAGGTGCTATGACGGCGCCACCATTGGGCGCTGTGGGAGGAGACGGTGCAGCTCTCAAGCCTCTGTCGAACAATGGCGGAACTGTAGAGTTGCTGCCGATTGGGCCATTCTGGACGGGGATCTGAGATGGCACAACGTAGGGGTTGCGCGAAGCGTACTGCTGGTTGGCGGCGGTAGGGGCCATACCAGCGCTGGGACGGGGGACGACGCCGTTAGGCTGTGCGTAATACTGCTGCGTTGGCGGCGATGGACCAGGAGCACGCGGTTGTGTCATGTCGATGGACGTCGTACGGGTAGGCAGAGATCTGGACGATTCGTGACGAGGGGGGGCGCTGCCATTGCCGTTGCCGTCAAGCAGAGGCGGCCGCGAGTAGACCTGCTGTGGGAACCCACCCTTGGGGTCCAAGGGGTTGAACTGCGGCGTCGGGGGTGACATCGGAGGCGAGGCCAATGCGGGCATTGGCGCCGACCGGTGAGCAGCCCCGGGAGGCAGGGGAAGGGGATTTTGGTGACCTGGAGGTGGGCCTGGACGCGACATTGGAGGTGGCGAGAAGTGACCGTGACCGTGACCGTTGGGCATAGCGTTTCCGTTTGATGGATACGGCCCCGGCGCGCGTGGACTGTTTGCGTTTGCGACAGTTGTGGAAAGAGGAGGACGCGAAGAGGGAGCGTGGCCGTTTTGAATATTGGGGGGAGTGTTAGCTGTGAACTGGTTTGGCTGAGCGATTGGTGGGCTGATGGGGTTGCCGTAATTGTTCTGCTGGCCGTTGGCGAGATGTTTGTACGGTACCTGGGGCGGACTGCTTGGCAGCGCTTTGGCCATGCCGATGGGAGGCCCATTGGGCAGGCCAGGTCCCGCAACGCCGCCGTTAGAAATGCCATTCTGCTGCATGTGCCGGGGCCCAGCAGCAGCATGCACATCATGAGGATGAGCGACACCGCCGTTGTTTTTGGTGTTGCCGTTGGGCATACCGTTGGCTTGTCGGTGCATCATTGCGATGGGCGTTCCGTTTGGGCGAGCGTGGGGAGCAGGAACGGGCGCTCCGCCATCTGGTGACGTTAGTAAAC